AGATAAAACACACAAACACAAAGAGACACTAACACATAAACACATAACAAGATAAGCGTGCAAATAAGATGTGCATGTGTGTAAATGACTCCTACTCACTACCAACCAGCAGAGAGCACTAAAAATAGATGACTGCGGTGTCCACTCAGAAAACATATAGACAAGTATATTGCTAAAAGTTATTCTGATAAACAGTTCTTTATATAGTTTGTGTAATATAAATCACAGGCACAGATAATATGAGCTCTCGTTTGGCCCATAAAAGCCTTTTATGCGATTATAAATTCCCACCTGCTCAGTATCACTCTGCACCTAGCCTAATGGAGCTAGCCTTATGCAGGAGCAGAGCTGTCTGGTTAACTAGCAGCAACAGCAGCCAGAGCTAACTGCTAAACAGCTCCCGACTCATAATATAAGCGAATATCACACAGTAGACACCTAGGTACTGTATCAGTTGCTTTTGTGCATTTAAAGTGCCACAATTTCGCGCCCTGAAGAGAAGAAAAACCCCCGAAACCCAGCTGCTTCTCTCTCACTCCCCCGAGCACCGCCGCCATCTCTGCCTGGCCACGACTATCGCCATTTTTTCGGGGCCGCCGCCATACTTACTCGTCTCGGGGAATATGGCGGCGCCCAGCAACACCTAAAACATGGCCTCCCTTCAAAACAAAAACATTTCGATATACTACAGCGGGGGTTTGGATCGAAAAATTGTGTTACACGTCGCTTCTGACGGAGGTGCGACGGAGCACTCCAGGAACTAGTCTGGTGCAGCAGGACAACGCCCTGGTAATGAGGCCTCATGCAACGGCTAACAACGGAGCTGTTAAAACACAGCTAGGCTAAGGTTACTTACCCGATGCCCACATTGTAACAGAAAATTCCCCCTCCAGTGTCTTTATTTGCACCTGCTTCTGTTCCCATTTTCTTCCGCCGGCCTCAGCGCCGCTTAAATAGCTCTTTTTGCCCGCTTTCTTCCCACCAGTGCCGCCTCCTCGTTTCACCCGACCCACTGAGCTCTTCCCAGCCACAGTCACTAAAGTCTGCTCAATATACTCGTCCTCCACCCCAGGAGCCGGCACCGGGATGAGGATCTGGTCCTCGAACCCTCCACCGCCGTCTGTATGCAGGTCCGAGTCATCCCCACCGACCACCTCCTCCCGGGTCTGGACTAGGATAACCTCCTGGTGGTGGTGGATCGAGCTGGGGTCGTCCGTGACCAGTGGCTGGAGCGCGATCATGGGCTGCCCGTCGTCGTCGTCATCCCCGCCGACCACCGTGGTCTCGATAGTTTCCACCGGTATCGTCTCTACCTCTATCTCGTGGAGCTCCACAATCTCGGCCGGCATCTCCGAGCCGTCTGTCTCAATGTACAGCGTATCTCCGGATGCCATGTTGAAATTCGCCAGCTTGTCTCTCTCATTCACGCCGTGTTGTGCTCCTTTTAGGACCTCACAAACACACTCACACACCCCCTGCTCTGCTCCTGCCGCTGTCTCTTCTCCCTCTTCGATAACAACTCTCTTCACTCCGTCCCACGCCAGTTCTCGTCGCCACTATCCTCTGTCACAAGGAAACATCGCGAGACTTCACTGAACCCAGCGATAACAGTGCTACTAGCGATAGTGGGGGTTCCCAAAGTTCGTAAACATGAGGTTATACACAGTTTCTGGTTTAGTTGCACAAACAGGGTGACAATTTATTATCATTATTAATAATAATAATATTTTTTGTTGTTATTAATACTATGACAAATGCACAGTTTCACTTGTGCTAATATTACTGCAAATATCTCTGAACCTCACCTGATTTATGCAACATTAATCAAATGATAATTGCTTCTAAAATACAGCAAATCACTGGGTAGAGCGAGGACATCCCAAATGTACTTAAAAAGGGCAACAAACAAAATAGTCAACTTAAAAAAAACGTGTTTTTGATGGGCATAGGTGATATTTATATTTTTTCCTGGTTTAACTTTATCAACTATACATCACAAATGAATTTTGTTTGTTTGTTTTTTTAAGTATAAAAAATAACCCAACAAAATAAAATATAAAAATATAAGATATATTGAGATTTCTAGCTCTGTAACCTGTGACCTCAAGCATACATCCAGTCTTCTATTGAGCCTTTGCAAACTGTAGTCTAAGTTTCCTGTTTGTATCTGACTAGTGACACCAGGTGTGGTCTTATGCTGCTCTGGCCCATCTTCTCCAAGGCTCGATGCGTTGTGTGTTCAGAGATGCTCTTTTGTGCACCGTGGCTGTAACAAGCGGGTGAGTGTATATGTTTGAGCGATGAGAACAAAGTGGTCCTTCACACCTGCTGGCCTCACTAATCAGAACGTGTCGAGTACAGCGGCTTGGACAGCCGTGGTGTAGCAGCTGGTGCGGTGTTTGCACTCACAAGTTATATGAAGTTTTATCAGTGAACAACAACCCTGCAGTTCATGTTGTGTCTTGATGGGCTTTTTATGTGGGTTGCTTCATTCTTTTGAAAACACAGCAATATAAACAAGGATGTGAAAATAACTACACAGCTCACAATGAAAGGTTTTAAAAAGCAATCTTCATATAATGATAGTAATAATATTTAGTGAATACTGTATTTTGTAAATGTGATCTTTAAGGAACACGTCACACTCCAGTGGTTGAATTGTGAATGGTCTCATCACCAAATCATATATAAAAGCTGTATCACATAACTGATCGTTGACTGAATATCTCTGCAGGGACATTCATTACACGAACAGGCTACACAAATGTGCACTTTAAAAACACACTGAGACTGCGCAAAAGCGCTCACGTGTGTTTCAGCAGCAGTAATTTATGGCACCTGTTTCAATGACAGCAGATTTCTGTGTTGCGGAGACAAAAACTGCAAAGAACCAAAACGAACACACAAAAGGAAAGAGACCACCTCATTTATCCAAGACGTGTTTTACAGTTTATTTCGATTCATTTTAAACTTCCGTTATATTTTTTTGCTTTTTGTCGTTGTTCTCAAACCAGGAAGCACTTTGTCGTAAAAGGAGAGAATAAAATGAACAATACTTCACCATATCCTTGCAGCCAATAAACATTTTATTAACAACATGGTCACAGATACTCGGGTGTATTTAATTATTTTTATTATTTTCTCTTTTTTTAGTGTTTATTTTTTTTTTTGGATTTCATAAGATTGCAATATCCAAAATTTGTGTTTACTCCAACATTGGTTTCAGTTCAAGGTCTGTTTTTTATGTTTTGTCTTGTTTTTTTTCTGCCATGGTTCCACACATAACTGTGAAAAGGATAAAAAATCTTTAAAAAATATTTTATATCAGGTGAAGAGAAAAAAGAGGATGATCTTGCAAATGCATCTAAAAAAAAACAAAACAAAGAAAACAACAAAATGAAAACAACCGATATAAAATTTAAAACACTGACATAAAGTGATGTGCAATATTATATCCACATTATCATTACTATCATATTCTCATTATTATTTCCTCATTGTTACCATTGCCCCTACTACCCTACTACTATTACTCATTACTGACATCACGCTGACAATCATAAGAATGATAGTAATAATAATGAAAGTGACAGTAGCGATGATTTAAAAAACAAATCTGTGAAAAAGTAAAGCAATTCAAATCATAGCATCAAATATCCTTTGGACCAAAGACAGAGGGGAGAACTGGGCAAACAAACAGACAAAGAAATGAGAGCAACCGGTGCGAGAGTGCGCCCCATTCACGTATTCCTCTCAGAAACAAACAAATCAAATGTTACACAGACACGTCTGAGGTGTTACAGCAACGTTTGCACCAGTGCTTCAACACCGCAGCTGAACGGGATGAGTAGATGTCACAGTTTGGGCCTCCCTTCCTGACTCCGCCTCCTCCTCCTCTTCTTCTTTAGGGCCCCGGCAGCTGCTGCAGGAGCAATGGTTTGAAAAAAAGGTGGCTCACGTCTGGGAGGGGGGGGGTCGCTCTGAAAGATTATGTTGTGCTAACTCGACTGAGTTCATGTCTAATGGCTGTAAGGAGAGAGAAAAAAGTGTGTCATATTTGAGAGCTGTACATCATCAGTGTGGTTTATTTTTGCTTCCTGACAAAGCTGATGTACACTGTCAGACACATGCAGTGCTACTGTGAGCAATAACCTGCACAAAAATAGCAAAACTGATACAATTCAAAACTCATATGTGCATTAATTTAATTTCTACCTTTTTTAATTAGTTTTTTAATTTGTTAAGCTTAAAATATTAGTACAGGTTACATTTCACAACATATCTTCACCACTGGATACACATCTTTGAGTAAATCTGATCCTTTTCTGCTCATCCTGTGTTGTTGCTCTTGCACAGCTACACTACAGACTTTAACACTTTAACATTGCCAAACAAAGTAAAACACATAAAAAGTTACTTAGTGATTTTACTTACATCAATATATTTGTTGAATGTAATTATTCTGTGGGATATTTCACCATTCTTATTATTGTGAATACTTTGGCCTATTTGTGTACTGAATGCCATATGTAGTGGATTTTTAGATAGTTAAACTAATAGAAGAAGCTGCTCTCAGCTGCTCTTTTATTCCTAAAAACACAGAAGCCAGTGTTTATTCAATTACCATTATTATGTTGTATTTTTGCTAGTTTTTATTACAATGCTTTATATGATATACAATGATATGGTACTTGTATAGAATTGTTTTTGGTATGTTTATTAATGTATTTATTGATAATCTGCTTATTAGTTTTAGTCTTATTTTTGTTTGTAATTCATGAGAAAAATGAAGAAGTTAATTAAGAAATTGCAGAATAGATTCTGCCATACAGACACAAGAAGTTTTTTTCTTTTTTGTTTACCACAGAAAAAAAATTGCCACAAAGTATCCTGATTTTGATTTTGGAGGATTTTATTTTTCCTCTGTATCTTATTTTATTTTGTAAGTACAGTAGTTCATAAGTAGTTTTGTAAGTACAGAATACAATTTCAGCTAATTTTTTCCCACTTAACTAAAATTAATTTTCTTTGCTTCCAGTTTAATTTTTCACTTAATCTTAGTATACTATAATAATCTTATAGCCAACATGCCTTCAATCTGTCATGCATATGTGTTCTTACATTGTACTTAGAAAACCTTTTAGTTAATCAACACTGTTATTTTCTACTGAGACTTTTATTATAACATTCTCTAGATATTATTTAATAAACGTGCTGATGTCACTAAATGTCAAATGTTAAATATTATGCATGTAGGCTATTTAAGAGTTGAACAATGTGCAATTTAGCAATGTATATCCTCTTGGTGAGCAATGGTAAACTTATTGGGATAATATTAAACAGATTAGCACATAACGACAACAAAAATAATATTAATAGTTATTATTATTATTATAATAATGTCTTAAAGGGATTCATCTTTTTCTTGTGCAAGTAACAAATTCAAATATTCAAGATACTGCTTTTGTAGAGTTTGATGTTTTAAATCCATTTGTACTTTTCTGTGAATCTAGTGCAACCTAGTGGTTACACATGTGTATAACTATCACACTCCCACAATTCCGCTGGATAGGCTTCCTTTTAAATATTCATTAACATGAATTAGGAGAGAGAAAATGATCCTCCTCAGGTTTTCACGAGAAGATTAAACCAACCTACCATCGATGATTTCGTCCTTCACTTTGTGCAATTCACGAAACACCTCTTCCAATATTTCCTGTTGAAGCACAAACGGGTAACTGTTTGCAATTGATTGCTTTACCGTGGACACGAGCTCATACTTTTAACGAAATAGCAAAACATTTTGCTGGGTAATGCTTTCTTTACCTGTTTCATTCTATCGAGGTCTAACGAGTCTGTGTCGCCACCACTCCCCGCAGGTCGTGCTCTGCGTAACACAAAATAATTCTCTGTCACACTAGCTGTTACTGTATTGCTTCACAG